AATGCAAAAATTTGTGTGATGATATTCTCTTCCCAGCAGGGGGCATGGGGTGATTGAGTTTGCTAATATCTAAAGTTAATGGTAAAATTATTATATGCTTGCCCATGCATAAATGCTAATGGTTAAAGGCATTGACAATGCTTTGCTGCTGCAGACTCGTCATCTGGGCATCAAAATTCAAGTTCTCGGCTTCCAGAAAGGTTTGAGTTACTCTCTTGATACGGGTTTGGTTGTATGAGAATTCCTTTTCACATGGAGAAAGATGCTTTTTAATGATGCTTGGAATCTTATTTGACATGTACAATAGTCTGTTACATAAGCAAGTAGAAGACTGGAGTAGGTGGATTTAAATTTTAAAGACAATCCTTAACTACTTAATGGCTCAACATGAGTATTGCCTTTTCCTTCTACTAAAATATTTATATTTCATTCTCAAGATTAATGGTTGACTCATGTTTCACACTACTATTTTAGAGACTGAACGTAATGTGAGTGGCAAAAGCTTCCATACTTCCTGCTCTTTGCATATGTGCAGTGCTTTGATAAACCAAAGCTTGTGGTGAATCTATAAATCTCTAGAACCACTGTTCTAATATTCTGCTAATAGTGTGATCCATAATTTGTTCCGCTTTTCTAATGACTTTATCAGGGTAAAGTTGATAATTGAGGATATGGAAAGGGAGGAAACAGCTCTGCGGGAAGATCTGTATTCTGCAGATAGAAAATTTGCTGAATATTATAATGTACGGATATAAATGAAAAAACATTGTTTCATGTTCTTGAAGTTACATACCAGAGCATTTTGTTTTGTGATGATATCATTTATTTATAAAGTTGTGTTTTTGCGAAACCTAGGTCCTGGAGCAGATACTGGGAGTGCTTATCAAGCTGGTCAGAGATTTGAAGTTGCAACATCAACATAAATATGTAAGCTTCCGATAATGCTCATGGTTGATGTGTTTTCAATAACACTTATCCCTTCAGCTTTTTTTTTTTGTTTTTTCTAGTTTCTTTTCTATATGATTCAGTATTCCATTTTATTGAGCATTCTTGAACCTTTATTATAATTAATAATTTATAGGATGGACTGCAAAAAACATGGCTGTGCAAAAGGTGTGAGACCATGAGTGCAAAATTGAGGTTCGTTGGTGGTTTTCCGTACTATAATTGTGTATTTCTGGCATCAATGTTGCTTAACGTGTAATTTCCTATATGTTTATGAAGTATGTTCTTTGTGATGCTTCTTGTGCAAACAGACAACATTCATCAGTCACCACTGGCTGTACTTGTGGTTTCCGTTTATTGAGATCAAATAAATAAATAAATTAATTGTATGTCATGACTATAATTTGCTGGAGTGCTTCATTTTATTTCAGGGTCCTAGAGCATGTTCTCCTTCTGGAAACTTATACTAAGGAATCAATACCGGCCCTACATAAAATAAGGTACCTATCGATGATTGTTTGAAAGTACATGTGGCTTACTGGTTCGAGGTTATTTTAATAATTTTATGACTCGTTTGTAGGAAATATCTTCTTGAAGCTACAGAAGAAGCTTCTATTGCATATAATAAAGCGGTATGACATTCTAGTTCATATCTGTCTCTTATTTCCTATGTGGTTTCTGTTCATGCTTTCATGAGTTGCTTTCATATGTATGTGCCCCAACACAGACATTTATAATGATATAACAATCATTCCAGCCTTCTAGCAGCACTGTTGGCTGCTTCTTGTAATATTGTATTTTCCCGAAGATTTTACTTTTAGCTTGATTACTGCAGTGTTTCATGTCTATTGTGCCTGCTTGTCTGTAATTGTTGCTTCAAGCTTATTTAGTTTTAGACTTGGATTTTCTTGACGAATTTGGTGAGATAAGAAAGTTTTCAATCTGCCTTTATTTCTATATCACTTTTTACTGGTTATTTAGAGCATCTCCTATGGTCTCCCTAAATGAGCTCATAGCTAAAATGTATGGAGAAAAAGGAAAAATTCATCTCCAATCACACACCCTATCATACTCCTAGCTCTAGCAGCTCCTAAATCTGGGGAGTAAGAAAGGAGCTCCTAACATTAATTACTAACAAGATTTTAAATAAAAACTCTATATATCTATTGGTTCACGATCATTATGACTCCCTAAATTAGAGAGTATGGTTGCAGTAGAAATTTTCTAGGTAGCTCCTAAAATAACTTTCTAGTCTTCTTAGCTAAACTTTGACTTGAAAATATTGAGCATGGTTGTTGAAGCTCTTGACATTGTAGATATTGTGAACATGGAGATGTTCACGACGTCTATAAAAAATGCTTAAGTTGCTAATATATAGTTAAGATATGCTAAGCCAAGTGTTCTGACATGTATACAAGTTACTTCACCTCATCATTTTGTTACTTTTTCCTACATCTCTCCTGCTGGCTTTCTTTATTAACCTATGATTCATATTTCTTTTAACCAGGTTACACGTCTCCGGGAGTACCAGGGTGTTGATCCTCACTTTGATACAATTGCAAGGCAGTACCATGATATTATAAAGGTAACAACAATGCTTACAGTTGTACATTACCTGCTTCCAGTGTGCAAGTCTAATATCAACATCCCCTTGCAGAAATTGGAAAATATGCAGTGGACAATCCACCAAGTTGAAATGGACTTGAAACGCCTCCCAGATCACGCAAATGCATAAAGGTAACAACAGTTCTTTGTTTGACTTTTGTTTGTGCTTGTAGTTATAAGCAAGATTGGTCGTAGACATTTGAATAGCAACTGCTGATTATTGTGTATAACTCTGCACATTAAAAGAATTGTAAACATCTGCCCACTTATATATTCTGAGAAGCATTTTTTGTTTTGGTTTCTGATGGAATCCAACGCCTTGTACAAAACCCGCAACTGCATGGTCTGCATCCCTTCCTCCAATGTGATCCACAACACTTGAGAATAATCTCCAAAGCGACCCCCAATCCATTTAGAGATGAAGCAATGCTTGATGTGTTTTTAGGAAACTCGGTGTAATAAATCGATGTAAAACTAATTGTGCAGTTTTGACTTAACCTTTTTGAATTGCTTTTTTGAGTCTCACATTTTCAACTATTGTAAAGCAAACCGAAATGAACCGAACCTACCCCGTATGATCAATATCAAGTTTAAATCATCTTTTCTTAAAATGCAACTTAACCAACAATTACTCTGAAAACAAAACAAAAATGAAATCATTAACCTTAAGTAAAATGACGATTTAAACTTATTTAATGTTGAAATTTGGGATTAACTGTGAACATCTAATCTGCAACTAGAAGAAATCTTTGCTTTGGAGTGGAATTAGGAGAAGAAAAATCTCTGCGCTTTTTTACTCTCTCTGCATTGAAACCCAGCGTCTCTGTGGTGGGATGGGAGGCATCATTTTTGTCCAGCAACAACTCAGAAATTATCATAGGTTGAAATAGTTGCACAGCAAATTCAATCATATATAAACAAACAAGAGTCACAAAACAGATATTCACACACAAGGATTTGTGCCCGGAAAATCTTTAACTGCGTAAAAAAACCGGGGCAACTCCCAATATTTCCATCCACCAGCGAAATAGCAAGTTCATACAGAGATAAACACATACACACACACACAAGCTCAAATCCTAAGCTCAACTAAAGGAGCATCTTGTACCTCTGTGCAACTTGAATTTCTTTAAGCAGGTCTGGATTCAGTCTTCACAAATTGGGGCAGCTTGTTTTCCTGAGCTCTTCACTTGTTTCCAGTGAATTTTTTGAATGTAAGATGATGCAGAATGCAGATTCATATATGAACAGCTTTCTTCAATCGAATATCAACTGATTGAAGAAAACTGAATATGAATCTTGGCCTCCAAGTCTATATGCAAGTTTTGAGAGCCAAGCTCAAAAATCACTCTCATTCTGTGAAAATGTTAGCTCAAAGAAGAAAGTTTTTCTGTAGGGTTTCTAAAAGTTGCAGGGATTTAATGGGATCCGGTGCATGTGAGTTGGTATGATTGCATCCAAATTAGGTTACCCATTGTGTGGCCTAGTCGAACTCCCCCTCCTCTTAGTCTAAAATATATTGTTATGAAAAAAGTTGCGGGGATCGGAACCACCTTGAGTTGAGAGCTGAGCTCTTTTTTATACTCCAGCAACCCTAAATGGTGATGCAATGATGATCGTACAAAATTCCACATGAAACCTTGGGTATTTCTGTGGCAACTTACTCAAAGACACTAGTCTCACGGAGGACATGAAGAATAGGATAAATGCTAACTCAGTAGAATGAAAAAGGGTCACATGATTATTTAATAGGACGCACGTGCCCATACTTAACTAGGCAAGCAACTTTAGGAATTGAAGTGGAAAGGGAGCAATATATTACGCTGTTTATTTTCGTAATTATATCAGACAATGGATGCAGGTAAAAGAGAGGGGAGGGAGATTGGTATTATAACTTTCACTTTGATCTTGTTGTGTTGCCACGAGGATACAAAAATACCTTTATGTATAAAGATCTTGATCCGACAACACCTTACATGCACAAAGAGAAATTTTCACCTCCTGAAGACTTTTTCACCTAAAACTTTCAACTGGTTGTCACCAAAGTCCATTTTGGTTTGCTTCCCCATACAATCATATGTGTGACATTATCTTTTAAATTATAACATAACATGAAAATAGTTCTCAATAAATATAAAAAAAATGGTAACAACTTAAAAACCTAGTCCACACATTTTTTTCTTGTACATCAGTTAGAGGGAAATACATTTCCGGTCGTGTGTAGAGAAATGAACGTGAAGTTTAGAATAAAAGTCATAATTTCTAACTCTTGATTGGATCTGTAAATTTAGAAATTCAGAAATTTCGCGTAGAAAAAGAAAAATTGGAATCTATTAAGTCATAAATCCTGCTTCAATTCCATCTACTAACTATAGTAATCCATTGAATTATATCTCGAAATTAATCCCTACAAACAAGTATCATCTTTGCATTCATGTGAGTCAAATGGCTGAGAAACAAGTTCTTATTTAAAGACGAGCAACAGAGACCATCCAAAAAGAGACAGAAGGGGTCTTTGTCTATCCGGAACACAGAGACGATCTGACTAGAAAGTCATTCAAAAATGTCGTTGGTTGACCAGCCATGGAGCCGGCAAACAAAAGGAAGTAAAACAGCTCTTACATCAGGTATACACATAAGGGAGTAACATGACCATATTACTGCGACAATCAAGCAGAAGCAAACCTATCTGGTTACCAGAGGATCAAGCATCAGATTCATGCCATTCTTGTAGGGTTGGTGTTGCAACTCCAATGTGCTTCGTGTCCAAAACATCGGCTGCTTCAGAGAATTTGGTGTTTCCACGTTAGTCATGGGTATCGTTCACTGATTCATTTTCAAAGCAATCAGAAATTTATAACAAATATGACAGAAGAAACAGGTTTCATATAACTTTTAGGGGTAACATCCTCTTGCAAAGCATTCTAATATGTACAACTTGTCCGACTCTGACAAATGAAGGGGACTGCAAAGCATTCTAATATGTAGAAACTGTTTCCTTGTCTTTGTAAACCCAAATAGAAAACTAAAGTACTTGTGAAATGTATCAGCAGAGTTAATCTAAGACATAACTTGCAATTCATTTCTCGCCATCACTAACTCTCATTTCGGACATGAGAAGCCAATAACATCACTGATTCTCATGCCACACACCAGCAACCAATAACAGAAGGACGCAAATCCTCCTGCGTCCTTAAATTATCCCCATAACCTTTCCCACCTTCTTTCATCTCTTCTAAGTTCCATTTTTCATCCCACTCTGTTTCCACCAGGGCAGCTTTGTACTGTTTGAGTAGTTCATTGGTAATATTGTAATACGATTTCAAGAACAAGTCTAAAATTCTTTGGGACTATGAAGTCCCTCGTCCAAACGTAGCATTAGTTTTCAACGGGAATTCTCGTCATACTAGTAGCCTACAGTTAATGGTACTTTAGTAACATTGTTCTTGGTTCAAAGTTGAGAAGGTGGCATTTGACTGGGGAACATATTCCTGATATCCCAAGTCTACCACTTTTCACTTTTGTTAACATATCCTGAATACTATTGCACAGAAAAATAGGTTCCAAAAAATATTATATCAGGCATTTGCCTGCAGAATAGATAACAGTATCACATTAGCATCAAAGAAAAGAAAGAACGTACCAAAGATTTCAAATGAAAAGGAAGAAAAGCAGCTTTAGAATCATAATACACATACAGCTTTAACAAGACCATAATATTATTACGACATTCAAGCAGAAGCCAACCTTACTGGTAACCAGAGGATAAAGCATCCAATTCGCTCCATTCTTGTAAGCTTGGTGTTGCAACTCCAATGTTCTTCATGTCCAAAATATTGGCTGGTTCAGAGAATTTGGTGTTTCCACGTTAGTCATGACTCATGGTTATCGTACTATCGTTCAACAAACCATTTCAAAGCAATACAACTTTATAGAACAATATCACGGATAATATGCTCTTGGAAAATATTCTGATATGTACAACTCGTTTGACTCTGATCAATGGATCAGATTGAGAGTATGACGTAAAGTGTAGCAACAACAAAATATTCCCCGCCTTTGTAGACCCTCACAACTATCATTGAACATATTGTACTGCACACAAATATAAGGAAGAAAAAACAGTATAACTGGCAATATGTCATACTCCAGTGATAATGGCCCTGTTAAGCTCATGAATCCTTCCTCCGCGTGAAAGTGATTATGGTAGAATAGTTACAATAATGTCACTCATTCGATCACATCCGTAAGATCAATGTAAATGATTTTACTTGCATTCAGTTGGGAATAAGAAGAGATAGCAGAAACTTTTAACTACTTTGCTTATACTACCCCAAATCTTTTGACAGAATCCATCAATTGTTTGTGTCATCAGCATTATATTAGTGGCTCAAACAGGAATTTTGAAGTACTTGTGAAATATATCAACAGAATAAGCTTATAAAAAGCTAAAACATAACATGCAGTTTATTTCATGCCATCGCTAACTCTCGTTTCAGACACGAGAAGCCAATAACAGAATGACACAAATCCTCCTCCCCGTAGAAAAGCCTTTTCTTGCACATTAGTTACAAATTAACAATTGACAATCTTTACTGGCCAAAATCCCAATCACAACATGCACGCCTACAACTCGTCCACAAGAAAGAATATAGTTCCAAGATCTCTCCGGTCTATCTTTGCAGTGCTTCCTCACATTAGCTTGCTGGATACTGCAAGCTATCATTTCTGATCATCAAATGAAAAATGTAATTCGCCGCTCCCACAACCTTTCCCAACGTTTTTCCATCTCTTCTAAGTTCCATTTCTCTTCCCACTGTTTCCACCAGGAAATGGTGAGAGCCTGTAGTTTTCATTGGAAACTCTCTAGTCATACGATTAGCCTGTAGTTTTAATGGTACGTTTGAAATATTGTTCTGGGTTGAATGTTGAGAATTAGGCTTTTGAGTTGAAGAAGATGCCCAGAAGGACAAAATTTCTAGAACCTTTTCCTGGTATTTCAAGATTTCTACTTTTGACTTCTGTTAACATATTCTGAAAACTATTCCAGAGAAAAATAGGTCCCAGAAAACATTATCAGCCATTTGCCTGCAGAACAATGAAATAACAAAAGATAAAACCTATCTAGGTAATCCCATCGAGGATTGATTGTATATAAGTTATGAATAATCTCATCAGCGCTCCTTCAAACTTAACATGTTGAATTATATCAAGGATATGAGCCATGTGTTCACATCCTCATTCCTCACTTTTCAATCCATGATGGAAAAGTTATGCGTAGGATCCAAATCAAACCTTAAGATCATATAACATTTGATCAAATGACATGAAGACAATCATAATTCCAAATTCAAGTCATTCATATTTATTGTATTTTTGAACCGAAGATCCTCACAAATGATTAATTTTTTGTCAGCTCTCCTTAGCTTAAGTTTTTGGAAAATGCACCACAACAATTAAGAGTCTTACATTAGCATCAAAGAAACAGAAATCACATACCAGCGTGTATGTCAGGTGTAGCAGCGGCTGTGGCGTCAAGAATAACTGTAACAGACTTGTAATCCAAAGCAACGCCATCAAACACAGTCTGCCTAATGCAATTTGGAGTCTGAACACCTAAAATGCAAGACCAACAAATTACAAGCTTGTAAAACACACATTTCATACACAACCAATAGGGTTTTTCCAAGAATTGAATCTCTCACTCACCAGTGACAACCAAACTGTCAATTCCAGAACCCTTGAGAAACGAATCGAGGTGCGTTGCAAAGAATGCACTAAACCGGGTTTTAACCAACTTGTAGTCCCCTTGTTCAATCACAAGACCATCAACAAGTTCAGCACCTCTCTCACCCTTAACAGTTGGCCCTACTTTCCCTGCCGGATATAAGTGCCGGCGAAAAAGCTCAACATCTCTTCCTAGTGGATCATGTTCACGCACAACCTACAATAATTGTCAAAATGAAGCATTGCAAACCCTTTTAACTGTAAAACTGTAAACTAAAGTGAATAATATATCTACCCCACAGTTAAAATCAAATCAAAACACAGTTTTTTCTTAATTACACATTAAAGTTCATATTTTCATTTTTCAATTTCTAGTTTGCAGAAAGTAGAAAATTCGACTTAAAATTAATAAAGGGAGAGGAAAGGAAGTTGGCTGTACCCAAACTACTTGAATACCACGCTGCCTAGCGATTTGGACGGCCTTGATTACATTTGGAACTATGGCTTTGCCTCCATTAACCAGCATAGGACCAGCCACATCAATGAAATCATGCTACAAAACCAGATTATATGTAACAAGACCCTAATGATCTATTAATTTCATTTGAACTTCTAGAGAGAGAGAGAGAGAGAGAGAGAGAGAGAGAGAGAGTTTGGGGGAGAGAGAAAGACCTGCATGTCAATGACAAGGAGAGCTGTGTGCTTCCAGTCTGCCATGTTTGAGTTCAGAGAGTTAATTAGAGGGACGACTGATGAAGGAGTTGGCAACTTCGTGTTTGCAACTTCAGAGAGATAGCAAAAAAAAGGCCTATATATGTTAAGACTTGGACTGGGCTTTTCATTTGGACAATGACTTTATGCTTCTTTCTCCTCCAAGATAATGGATTAAAAATGTAAAGTTGATTTCAACAAATCACTTTTATATCTTCAACATGTGGTGGATCATGTTCCTTTGAACAAAATTAAAACATCGAAAGGAAAAGTGTACAACTTTTGTATTGATATCACGTAGGACGTGTTTGATTGTTGTTTCGTTAAAACATCGCCAAAAAATGTTCAATGAGATGAAAAGTCTATTTGAAGTGAAAAAAAAAAAAAAAAAGTGTTTGATAAAATACTTTTGGATGCTCCCCTGATTGATATCTCCCCGATCAAGACAAGTTTCAATCGGATTTTCTGGTAATTTGATGCATACTCATAAGACACGCTAACTTCTGGTCTGTAGACCTCGGCAGAGCTTCGTATCGATTTCTTTACATTTCTTACTCGTGTGTAGAATGTTTAGGTGATATAAGCTGGCATTATCACCATCCATGATAAATGGGGCATCATTTGCTTCCAATATGACGAACTAAAAATTTTAACTTAACATACTCTGTGAACTTTATGTAGAGCAAAAATTTGTGAATGATTCGAAGATGCAACTCACGGTAAGAGTTCTTGGAAATAAAAAACAGGATGGTTTATCTACGTAGACAAGGGCAGTTAAGATGAGCTGTTATCATTTAATTGTAATTTGTATTTAATTATATTGTATAGCTGCTACAGGACCCCTATATTGTAGACCTCTTGGTGTATAAAGTCTTGTAAAGTTTACCTAAAGTTCAATGAAAATTTGAAACTTCACATGGTATTGAGCCTCTGATCCTTTTTTTTTTTTTTTCCATGGCTTTCGCAACTTCCTCTCCTACATCTCCAATCCCTAATATCTCTACACTAGTTTCTGTCAAACTTTCTGAGTCTAATTACTTACCTTGGGAAAGTCAAGTTAAGCCATTCTTGATTGGCCAAAACTTTTGGCGTTTTGTAGATGGAACCCACCCTTGCCTTCCTCCCTTTATCACCACCACCACTCATGCAGCTTCACCAAATGCCTCAGCTAATTCTAACTCCTCCACAATGGTGCCTTCTGTGACTACTAGTGTTCCCAACCCCAATTACCGGGTGTGGTACCAAACTGATCAAACACTTGCCAGCATGTTGCGTGCTACCCTTACAGAGTCTATTTTCTCTTTGACCGTCAGGTTGTCTACTTCTCGTGAGATTTGGGAGCATCTTCGTCAAAAATTTTCTCAACAATCCCTTGCCAACTTTACCCATACTCGGTTTCAGTTGTTGTCTCTTCAGAAAGGTACTAAAACGATTTCGGAATATCTGGGTCTTGCCAAAAATTTGGCAGATCAATTGGCTTTTATTGGCCAACCTGTTCAGAATGATGATTTGGTGATTTATGTACTTAATGGCTTGGGGCTTGAATATGAGATTCTTGTCTTGGCGTTGACCAACTTTCCTCCACTACCGTCATTCAATGATTTGTGTGCTCATCTTTTGGTTTATGAATCCAAACATGCTATGACTCAGGCTACTTTGGCTCTCTCTGTTTTCTACTCCGCATGTAATTTTGGTGGTATTTTCTCTCAGGGACGTGCTGGTCCGCCCTTCCGCCATCATGGCACTTCAAGTGGCAATCGGCATCCTCGTACTTATGGTGGTGGCCGTTCTACTATGCATGGTGGTGTTGACCGATATGGTCAACGTGCTGCACAACAACGACCTGGCATCCTTGGACCAGTCCTGCTACTCGTGGCCCTCAATGTTGGGCATGCAATCAATTTGGTCATATAGCTACGTTGTGTCTTCAAGTGACTCGTTCTGATGATGATATATCTCGAGCATTCGCTGGCATGCACATTGCTTCCCCTTCTGATCCTACATGGTATCTGAACACTAGTGCAGCTCACCATATGACAAGTGACTCTCGCTCCATTACTTCAACTACGGGGTATGGTTCTAATGACAAGGTTGTTGTGGGTAATGGTGAGACTTTCCCTATTGTGCATACTGGTAATATTTCCTTTTAAGTTTGGGTCGTTCATATTTCAGTTATCCCAAATTTTGCATGTTCCAGCAATTTGGAAAAATTTATTTTCTGTTGCTAAGTTTACATGTGATAATCTTGTTAGTCTAACGTTCTTTCCATGGGGTTTTGTTAAACGTGACTTAGAGATGGGTGTTGTTCTTTTTCAGGGCCCATGTGAGCATGGTCTTTATCCCATTAAGCTTGGTCTTGCTTCTAGAAATGTTTCTACTGCCAAACATGCTTTTGTTTCCATTTTTGTGTCACCCTCACTTTGGCATCGTCGTCTCAGGCATCCCTCATGTCAAGTTCTTAGTGTGTTAGCATCTAGTGATGTATTAGGCTTGTCTTTTACTATCTCCACTAAGGATTTTTGTAATCACTGTGCGTTGGCTAAATCCCAACGCCTAGCATTTACATCTTCAGAACACTATGCTATGTCTCATTTTGAATTAATACATTCTGATGTTTGGATGTCTCCTATTGTGTCAGTGTCGGGTTTTCATTACTATTTCTTGTTTATGGATGATTACACACGATACACATGGATTTATCCCATGCGTAAGAAGTTCAAGGTCTTTAATCACTTTAACAATTTTATAACTTTCATTTTTAATCAATTTTCTACATGGGTTAAAATACTCCAAAGTGATGGGGGTAAAGAGTATGATAATTTGTCTTTTCGTCAATTGTGTGCGCATAAGGGGATTCACCATAGATTTTCTTGTCCACATACCCTGCAGCAAAATGGACTTGCAGAACACAAGCATCGTCATATCTCAGAAATGGGATGCACCATGTTACTTGCTACCAATCTTTCGCATAAATTTTGGGTTGAGGCACTTTGCACCGCTGTTTATATAATTAATCGGCTACCCACTTCTGTTCTCAAGTGGGCTTCTTTGTTTCAAATTTTATTTGGCCGAGCTCCTGATTATATGTCTTTGCGCACGTTTGGGTGTGCTTGTTTTCCATATCTTGGTGATTATGCAACTAACAAACTACAACCCAGATCTTTGTCGCGTGTTTTCTTAGCTACAGTGACCAATATAAAGGCTATCGTTGCTTCCATCCCCTTACTGAACGTGTATATTTGTCTCGTCATGTTAAGTTCAATGAGGATGATTTCCCATTCCACTATTCTATGGCATCGTCTTCTGTGCAACAATCAAACTTGGTATTTGTTCCTATTGTCTTCATACCTACCTCACTTTAGCACAACAATACCTTGTCACCCATGTTGTCTTCCATGTAACCCGTGACTATGCCTCAAAATCTGGAACTAGCCAATGTCAACATGTTTGCCATTGTCCCTGCGTCAGTCCCTACTACAATTCAGCAAGAACACTCCCATCCACATGCATTTCCCTTGCCAGATGGTGGTGTGGCACCCATGTTGCCTGCAACACCCGTGATTGTGCCTCAAAATCTGGAACCAGCTACTGTCAACACATTTGCATCTGTCCTCACCTTAATTCCTGCTGCAACTCAGCAACACCAATCACATCTACATGCATTTCAGTTGTCAGCTAGTGGCATGGCTCATGCTCATTCCTCAGGACCTCACATACGGTCTAAGTCTGGAATTTTCAAAACCAAAACCAAGGCCTACTTTGCTAGTCGTCATCCTATTCCCTCGGCGATGATTGCCTTTGTTAAATCTGATGCGACGCCCACTTATTTTACACAAGCCTTAAGGTCTCCTAAGTGGCGCCAGGCTATGTTGGATGAGTTCAATGCGTTGCTTAAACAAGGTACATGGAATTTAATTCCTCATGTTCCTTATGCTAACATTGTCGGATGTAAATGGGTGCTCAAAATAAAGCGTCATTTTGATAGATCGATAAAGCATTACAAGGCGCGTCTTGTCGTCAAAGGTTTCCATCAACAGCCTGGGGTTAATTACACATAGACCTTTAGTCATGTTGTAAAGCCTACTGCGATTCGAACCGTGCTTAGCCTTGCCGTGTTCTTTGGTTGGCCGATACATCAACTTGACGTAAAGAATGCATTTCTCCATGGTTCACATATGGAAAAGGTTTATATGACCTAAACCACCTGGATTTGTTGATCCCAATCGTCCCAATTATGTTTTTAAACTTTCAATAGCCATTTACGGTCTTAAACAAGCTCTGCATGCTTGGTTTCAACGTCTAAACACCTTTCTCATTCAGGTAGGCTTTGTTCAAAGTCGAGCCGATAGTTCGATGTTTACTTATCATCATGGCTTCACTATCCTTGTTTTTCTTCTATATGTGGATGACATCATTTTGATGGGTAATTCATCTCCTTTGATTCAATCATTCATTCAAACTTTGAGCATTGAATCTCAGCAAGCTGCACTATTTCCTTGGCATAGAGGTATCTTATTTATCCAATGGCATTCACTTGTCTCAGAACAAATATACTTTGGAGTTATTACAATGTGGTGACTTATTAGAGTGTAAACCTTGTTCCATACCTATAGCAGCCAAGGCTCAACTTTCTATACACACCGGTGCTCCCCTCTCAGATCCTATCGGCAACTTGTGAGTTCTTTGTAGTATCTTACGTTAACTCGGCCAGATATTTCCCTTGATGTACAAAATGTTTCTTAGTTTATGGGTCATCCTACTAATGCTTCTCAGTTTATGGGTCATCCTACTACTGCTCACATGTAGGCGGTTAAGAGAATATTGCGTTATCTTAAGGGCAGCTTGGGTATGGGACTTCGCTTAACTTCGTCTTCACAACTGTTCCGTCTCATTGCTTATTCTGTTGTGGACTGGGCAGGGTGCCTTGACACACGTCGTTCCACCATTGGCTTTTTTATTTTTCTTGGTGACAATCTGATTTCTTGGTGTGCTAAGAAACAACGGACAGTCTCTCGATCTATTGCCGAAGGGAAGTATTGGGCTCTTGCCTGTTCATGTGCTGATTCTATTTGGATAATGGGTCTTTTGCGTGAGCTTCGTGTACCAGTCTTTGAGCCAATAC